TTTGTGCTTCGCTTTGTGCGTGTAGTTGTGTTTGAGTGCGTGTGTGTGTTAAGGGGAGGAAATAGTGTAGGTGAGTGCATAAGACCAACCTGTCAGTTTCACAGCTGGTTTCTCTGGCTGCAGGGCTCAGGCCAGAGTAGGGTGACACTCGGCATCACTGCACCGCAGCTCAGGGCCTGGGGTAAACACACCATCATATACTACCGGAATACACACTAGCACACACGCACATACTTTGCTTGACTGTCCTCGTCCATAAGACCACAAGACCAGTGAAACACACCACCTGGGTAAGTCATCATATCTTGTCAAAGATATTTTTTTTTTCTCTTTTTGGCTCGACGAAGGTGTGAACAACATCACAGACCAGATTGCCTGGCAATAGACTGACCATCATGTTGGAAGGAAGGGGCGGGGGAGGTTGAGAGGAACATAGACCGAGACAAAAAACAAGAAAAAAGTATAACGTAAGACGAGAATCCCTGTCGTTTTGATGGGCTTTCTGAAAGGCGAAGTTGGCCTGTCTTTCTGTATTATGTACAACAGTGGCTCATTTGCAACTATCATGATCGCTCTTGATGCATTATTGAGGACAGAAGTTGACACAGCCTAATAGCTGTATGCTCTTTTGTTACATCAAGATGAGATGGCGTTCCCATCCATTGCTTTAATTTCAGGACTTGCTTCATAGTGTGTGGAGTGGACTCTGCAGGGAAAAGAGCCCGAGGCACATCGCCCCATGTCCCCATATCCACTATCGCACATTTCATCTCCACAAAGATGGAAGTGATGGCAATTTTTTCTGAATATTGGGAGGATGCAGACCCTTGCGACAAATGCGGCTTACAAGAAACATTTTTTTTTAAGGCAGAATTGGACGGCCTATGCAGAACTGAGGTTAGAACACACATTAATCTACTGTTTGCGAAGAGGATAATTATCATTCTGCACTGAGCACATGAGGAACAGGAGATCGTTAAGTTCAGGAAAATAAACTGCCCGACTTGTTACTTCTGATGACATTTGGGGGGAAGGACACAAAGCGAGTCAATTATAAAAATAAACATGTTGACAGGAGAAACAGTGCTTTGACTGCTGCTGTCAAAGGAGGTTCTAGTGTCTAAAGTTTCTACACTAAGTGATCATGCCTCAGTGATTCTGCCCTGAATATGTGTGCTCTAAATGCATGTGTGTCTCCATGTGTTTGAATGTGTACACTCAACGATCAACTTCTGCTAAATACTAATTACTGAATACTTAGTACGGATGCCCTTTCTATTGGATCCCTTTAGTATAAACATTCATTATGCCTCTTTTTCTCCTTTGTAGCTCCATCATCATTATTCCATCGCATCCCCTGAGGAGCAAGACAGAGCCGAGACCGGGGCCGGGGCCGGTCCAGGCTTGGGGAGAAAACACTGTAGAACCAGAGCATCAGGACCTGGGAAAGCACACAAGTGATATTTGTGTGAGGAGATCAAAAAGCATTTACCTTTAGATGTTTCCCTGATATGAATATTCATCATCCTTATTGAAACCTAATTTGGGTCTCCTTGTCTCAGGGGCCTTTTCATCAGTGCCTATTGCCCGAGGCCACTGCTGATTGACAGCCAAACTTTAGAAAAGAGCAAGCAGGAAAAAAGGGAGATCTGGTGGTGTTGGAGATGTGAGCAGTGGGAAGCTGGGGAGACTGGAACAGATGAGTGGAGGGGTAGTGAAGGGGTGGGTGAGGGGGCACGGGGGTGGGGTATTTAACCTCCTCATGTGCATGCACAAACAGAATGCTGCATACTATTAGGACTTATTAGTGAATATATTGAGCAAAACATATATTGAACAAAAATATTGAGCAATTTATACATTTTTGTTTACGTAACCTGTAACTGTGGCTACTAAAACCTGAAATTTTGAGTTTGTTTGTTTTTGTTTTTTTACTCAAATTAACCATTAACTGTTTTGTCAACTTATAAGCAATTTTCAACATTTTTAAACAAAAATGTGAATAAATATTTGAAATGTTGATTATGATAACTGTTGATGCATTACTTAAACTGCTTTCAGATTTGTCACAGACTAAAGAATTAATCAAATCAATAAATACCAGTTTAAGTGACAGTAGAAATACATTTTACTGAAGTCCTGACATTTGACACTAGTGTTACTACTGTTCAAGAAACTATCTCATCAAATAATGTGAAAACGGTCATAATTGTCAAGTTTAGTTGAGCTTTTATGTGTAATTTACTGTAGAAATGTTAAGTCTTCACACGTACGTTTTTCCCTTTTGTCTCATGTGAGCAAACGGGCTTTTAGTTTAACCAACAAAACTACTGAACAAAATTGATCAAACAAAAAGGGGACTGTGGTGTAATGAAAATTATTTTGAATTGCAGGCTTACTGAAATATCTAAACAGAGATACAAAAGAAATCATTCTGCTTCTGATGTCTATGAAGATCAATGGAAATATTATGGAATTCATGTGTGATAAAGTATGTAAAAAAGCGGGGGTAAACAAAATAAATGTATAAAATCGACATAATTTAATTGATCAGGTTGTTCTCTTCTCGTCTAAAAACTAAACAATCCCTTCCAAAGGCATAGCACAAAATGATTTCATAAAGTTCCATTTCCAAACATTTGTTCTGCTATTTGCCTTTTCCAACTAAAGTTATGTGAACTAGACAACCCTTTATTTGGCCAGCAAGAAAAAAACTCTTGTCAACTGTAATAGACTGTTGTGGAGTGCAGATGTTTTTTGGACTCTTGTTGACTTACATGATATCATATATAAGCAAGTGCCTGTCTCCCGAAACATACAACATCACTTTAAAAAAAATCAGTTGCAATGAAACACTGGGACAGCAGAGTTGGATGTGAAATTATTTTGCAAAGACAAATAATTACTTTGTAGGTGAGGCTAAAATATGGCCCCGCTGGTCAGGTGCATGTGTCCACACACACTAACCAAGGGTGTCCTCATCTGGCCAATGGATTAAGCATGGTTTAATGTTATTATTGCACAGGTGTGGGTCCTGTCCCTCAGGGTTCCATTAAAATGATGCCTCTCTCAATTGTGGTTCCATTTGCTCTTTAGATTTAACACAGGCCATATGTCTAGCAGGAGGCAAACAGCTGAAGGGGTTTAATTGACAGATATCAACATATTTGTGAGTGCTGGACGGTGTGCTAATGGTGGATGTGCTTGGGCATCAAGGGATCGCTTTAAGGGTCAATTACGTATCAAACTGAGCTTGGAAAGAGTGGGAAAGAGTCAAATACATTTTTAGACAAAAAAGAGCCATGTAGATGCTATTAGCAACCATTAAACAGTGGCAAAAAGGATTAATGATTATGAGAAACTGATATAAATCTGTAGTATTGCAGGACATAAGCCTGCACATCAATACACAGTTTCATTGGCTTCATTTTGGAGATGACATTCTTGTTCAGTGCAGGAACACCGCTGTGCTGACTGTTAACTTCATGTTTTATCTTGCCTTACAGAGATAATGCACCAGACCACAGCCAAATCATGCAAAATTACCTCTGTCACAGAGTTGATTTAAGCTCAGGAGGGTACCCGAAAGAAATTAGTGTTTCCATCGCTGTGTTCAAACTCAATCAAACCACGAAAAAGCCAGAAATAATGAGATATGACACACAGAAATATTTTATACTCACTGAATGAAATGTTTCTTGGAGGCATTATGAAATCTGGGGGAACTGTTGAAAGTGGTTGTAAGTCTTGAGGGAAAGCACTAGGCTAACAGGCGCAATGCAATTAGCACATAAAATCCGTCAGTGGCCTTCAGTATCACAGCTCACTGAGGACTGTTACACTTATAAAACCTCCTGATCTATTACTACAAAGTGATTAATCCTCCTAACACAATGACCAGCCTTAAAAGTGGTCTTCTATATTATTAGTTAGCCCTAGCTGACAGTTTAGGTTCCCTCTAATTAGCATTCAGATCAGGGACCCCAGAGACAGCCCCTTCACCACAGAGGAAGGACATAGGATGAGACGGCGACACAGTGAAATGTCATTAACTTGATGTTAATTACTAATTAATGGGACTATTTCATTTACATGTATCTGGCTCTATGACGGGACCAGCATTTACTGGGATACTTTTACCAGCCAACAAGTTGGGGGAGCGGTTTAATCACCCCTCTCCTCGACTCTTCCTTTAGTGGTTCATTTCTGTTAATTAAATAGTGGGCCACTCATCATGATTATGTCTGCTTTTACAACACCGCTTTCTGTCAGTGAAAGCAATCAAATAAGTGACTGACCACCTCTTTAACATCGTAGCTGTTTTTCTATGAACTGTACATCAAATGCCTAATTCACAACCAACTTACTCCACCCCACTGACTTCTAAATGACTTGTTACTTTCACACACACTCATGAGCCCTCCCTTTCTTTTCATTGCCACACGGCGGCCGCAAGCCCCCCTGTCTCCATAGCAACCCCAACCATTCGGTCCCATGAGAAGGCGCAGGTTTGGTTTGACTAGCGTCTGGCCATTCACACGTGGGCATTGCCAGCTAGCCAACATGGCACACAGCATCCTGCCATATGGTGCCATCACATACGCCCTGTTGGCCCGGACCCGGGTTATGAGCCTTTAGTGAGCCGCTGTGTGAACAGGACAGCCCGGCACCAGAACCTGCTCAGCAGCTCATCCAGAGACACCACAGAACAGATGAAGGGCTCTCCGATTCTTGAAATGGCGGTTGTCTGTAGTACCGGTGTTTATGTGACAGTGCCTCTTGATCTGAGAGTTGTCAATCTATGCTGCAAGCTGAAAGTGATCTAAATGAAAACATAAAGCAGTTATTGGGCCACCAGACTGAAAAGCTTCACTCCAGATTACAGAGCGTTTGGATGCTCCGGGGCAATGCCTGCCCTAATCTTTTGATACTTTGCTGCCTCTCTGTGGATTTGTGGGGGAAATACAGGCTGACACAAACAGGAGACTAAAGCGACTCACCAATGTTGACAAAATATATCTTTATTCAAATTTGATTGCCTTTAAATATCGCATATTTAGAACACTTCAGAATACTGCATCTTTAAGTAACTGTTATCATACACATGTTACAATTTATCAAAAACTATCTGAGGGCCTTCAGAAGCCTACAGCAAGACATTGGTTAACAAAATTCTATGTAATATTCTTAATATATTCTCAGGCTGTCAACATAGAAATCAAAGATGAAAATATAAATGGTATACAAGTATAGAAATAATATAGTCTGCAAAGACAAAGCAAGCGTCTGAGAAATGTGCTACCCTTGACAGCAAGAGGCTGGAAATAGTGAAGTCTAGTCATTCTGTACAGTGCTGTCATGTAAATAAATACACTCTGTATGTCATCTATACAAAAAAAGCATTTGTACAAAATCAACATAAGATTTGAAATACATGTCATATTCAAGTTTTGTACCTTATAACAACCATGACAGAAAGCACATTGAAGTCAAACTCAACATGTGGTATTACTTTGGCTGAAACAGAAAACTGAGCAGTGTATAATTTATTATATTTCAAACGTCACTCTAAAAGTACTGTCTCCAATTCAATGACTTCGGCACCATTTCAGAGCAGGAATGACCAAGGCACTCCCTCAGGTTTCCCCCAGGACAAAATGCTCTGCCATGCCACCCAAACCTGACTTGAAGAACACAACATACACCCTACCTGACCACCACAATGATACTCTACTACTCTTAATCATCACAGAAGATGCACCTGTAAAAAAAAACCCTGTCTCCTAAAGTTGTATAGGACAGAGCGTTTTCATGCTGTAGCTACTCGGTGCATGTTTCATCAACAAAAATGACATATTTCACCTGAAAGGCAGCGGGAAAAGGTGTTTGTTGATCCAGTTGCTTATAATTGAGGACGTATTAACTATAATTTCACCATATGTATTTGTAATGACAGACAATGCAATGAATGCAACAAACGTTGAGAAGAAAGAAATAAAAGAAAAGAAGAAAGCAAACCTGTGGCACATTTAAACCTTTCAGAGGTGTCTTTAGAAAACATAAGCCTGTAGGTCTGGCAACAAAAACAAGTGGTACAGACAGTAAACTCTTACAAAGACAGGAAACACTACCAAAGTTCAGCTATTTACACTGTGTGAAATCATTTCTGTTTCAAAACCTCTCTCACATCATTTCCAAAATAATAAATGCATAGATATAAAGGTAAGTAAGTGTCTTAATTTAATATGAATTGGAAATAAATTGGAAAATAACTTTGAAAGTGTGCTCTAAATATCACAGCTGAGTTATGCAAACATCCATTTTCACTTTCAGCTTGCGCAGCCACCTGTACAAAGCTATATATCACATAGTCGCAACATTCAGTCACATATTCTCCAGGATCTATTTCGTTCTTTCAAGCAAGGACATAATTTTTTAACTCTTTCAACTAGATCCAACATTCATCATGTCAAGTATAACACAAAGACAGCATTTAGGACTGTCCTGCTAAGACAGTGGAGGGGCACTAAATCCGGCCCTGCCCGGGCGGGTAAAGCCTCCCTCCTGTGCTAACTGTATCCATCCCCATAGCGAACAGCACTTCTTGATGGTGCTAAAATAAAAAGTGTTTTAAGTGCTATAGTAAAGATGTATCTCTTGAAATCAAAAGCTGGACATCTTTTTTCATCTCCCTGCAATTTTTTGGAGTACGATAACATTGAGAAATTCCTTTTAAAAAGAGATTTTAGAGATGGTGAAACAGTTCAAAGCAAGGTCTTTCTAAGTCTTATACTACATTACATTGATTGGATTAGTTTTTTTTTCTCATCTAAATATTCGTTGCATCATTTAAATTAAGATATTTATTCTGTCCAAAAAAATAAATATATATTAAGAAACCTTTCAGGACACAAAATACAAAAGTAACTCAGACAATTGAAGCGAGGTATTACTACTGCATGCAATTACATGGAGAAAAAAAATCCCCGTTGACCTTTGGTCTTGCAACGTGTTCCGAACGACAAAGAAAACGGATTCAGTGGAAATCTTGCTGCCATAAAGCTTTCTGCCATCTCCTCGTAAATAAAAAAAAATGAGCTTGTTACCATGGAGATGAGGACCTCAGAAGGTAAATTGTGGAGGACATTAGAGTGCCTGCAAAGTAATTAGTGGCTGGGTAATGAGGTGTCACTGAGAAATTTCTCTCAGCGATGGCTGAGCAGGGGGTACTAATAAAAGACTTTAGGTACAAAATGTTGGACTCACACAATCCTACCTCCCCCATCCCCTTAGGGTGAGGAGAAGACGCCACCTGTGTCAGTCCCAGCTGTCAGGGGGCTCCGAGACTAACAAAGCCATCACTCTCACGACTTATTGAGACAGGATGCCACAGCTTTCACACTGTGTCTGTGACTTCTCTGGCTCCAAGTAACACGGCCTGCAGCAAACCAAGTGTAAACAGTTTCCCCCTGAAACCGTTTAACCCGAGCACAGGCTGGACCCTGGAGGTAGAGTAGGCTTTTTCCACTGCAGCTTTTACCTTACCACATTCTTCTTCAACTGTCAACATCCCCCTACTGTGTTCCTCCAGGATTCAAAGATGCAGTGCTTTGAGACTTTTCAGTAACATTGTGCAGGCTCTGCTGTGTGCTTTTCAGGAACTTCTGCAGGACACCCCCAAACCAACACAGAGCCAGTCTAACTTTATCCAGATGTTGCATGCAGCTTTGAAGTCAATTCTGTTTGCTTTCCATTGGATAATAATCCAACGCGGTTAAAGCCCAAACTGCTGATTGCCTTAAGTCAAACCTCCTTTGGGAATAGAAGTCAGGCTCCACTGAGGAGTTAGATGTGAATGTTGTGGTGGCGGACCTTACAGGAGTCAATATCGACCCGGCGTGCCTCAGCAAAACCCAGGAAGATGATAAGGCCCAGCAGGTTGACCAAGGAGATGAGGGCAAAGACAGATGCCCATGAGCCCGTCGTCTCAATGAGATACCCCGAGAAATACACCATTAGGACCCCTGCACATACACACAATGGCATGGTTCACAAAGAGAAGCGGCACACAAACTTTATTCGGCGTAAAGTATAGCTCAGTTATTTTCTAATGCAAAAAAAGAAAATGTCACAATCCTCCATGGCCCTCACCGGATCACTAACTGTCATCGCCTGCGCCCTGTTTTATTCATACCAACTTCATCAGGCTCCCTTGATGAAATATTCATGGAGCAAACCTGACAGCAACGCATCATCTCAAACTTTGCTTTTCAAAAAGGGAATCAGCTATTTTATTTAATAGTGTCCGCCCCTGCTGCTGAAAGATTGATCACAGGCATTTCTCAATTAACTGACACTCACCTGAGAATGCGCCGCATGTATTCATGACACCTGTTTAGGGAAAGCAAATGTACAACATTTATTGCAGTCAATTTTTCATATGTGCTTTTAAACCTCTTTTGAGGACTTGTTAAATTGTATTCACTTACCAAATAGGGCTCCAGCACAGGAAGGAGCAAGATCTTGAACATTTACAGAAACACCGCTGAAACAGAAACATTTATAATAAGCCCTTTCTATCTTAGATGGTGCTGTAGAGCATTCAAAATATCTCTTTCATATAAATAGAAAAATAATTATGTCAGATAATAAATCTTACTCCTATGTTGAAAGTGTACAATCACTGACAAAGCTATGTAGCTACAAAGAAACTCAAACACAGGCCCGACCACTCAAGTGGATTCAAGTCAGTATTTGTTATTCTTAATTAGTTTCTGGTTATTGTATACACACACAGTCAGTTTAAACATTGGAACATTATTATTACTGTTTGATAGGTTGACAATTTTGTCACCGGAACACACAGAAATGACTGTGATTGTGGCAAGGACTAACAGACACAGAATGGGCCTATCTGCATCTTAGACTGTAGTCCCACTAAGACATCCACCCCGATTAAACACAATAGCATTATTTTTAAAAAAATCTATAAAATAGACAAATTCAGAGGAGGTGGTGAGAAATGTGACACTTTCAATGTCTAACCAGCTGCTTTATGGGTGTATAAAATGAAATGACTGTTATATTTTGAAAGAGTATCTAAAAATAAAAAACGACTACAAAACTTTAGGAACACCAGAAAAAGTGTTGATCTGGGCAAGGGATAGGACGCGGGTGGCAGTACCTGTGACTGAAGGTGGTGAGACCCATGGTGGCAGACACGAAAGCTACAGCCCAGGGGAAGGTGGTTTTACCACACAGGAGGAGAGTAAACACACTGGACACGCCCATGGAAAAGAACTGATACGGGCATGAAAAAAAAAGAGAATAGGTCAAAATTCAGAAAAGTTTACAGAGCACAAGGAGTGGAAATCAGCACGCTTTGGACAACAGGCAAGAATTTCCAAAATCAGAGTAAACTCACAAAATACAGGCAGATGAAAGAGATGAAATCGGATACAGTACCTGCATGACTTTGCGGACTAAGGCCGTATCAAAACCTAATGGGGTTGACACAGACATGTGAAGCTGCTTCATCAATAACATACACGCCAAAACAATCTGATAAATGGTCATCAGATTGCTTACCTTGACCAATGAGGTGGTCAGACAGGCATCCGCTGAAGAGAGATGACGGTATGGCCACCAACCAAGGAATGACATTAAACACCCAGCCCTGGAGAGACATCACAATCTCTTAACTTTTCCTCACCTACTTTAACTACAGCATTTCTCTCTGATTCTAACGTGACACACCTCTCTAGTGACGCCTTTTCCCAAATTTAAGACAGAATAGTCAAGCTCAAGACTTTATGGGTCGTAAAGATATGAAAACACATTTTTGACAGAAAGATATTCACAGATGAAGGTTTGGCATTTCTTGATTTTACCCTTCCTTTTGTTTTTAGCCATTTCGCTGCAAACCTGAGGTCAAAATGTATGAATGAATAGAGGATGGGAAGATAACTACCTTGGCATCAGGGAAGGTGTCCTTAAAGAATGTTGGCAGCCATGACAAAAGAGTGAAGAATGTGCTCGCAGTGCAGAGGTGCGTCACTATCACAGCGCTGAACACAGAGACACACAGTTACACACAAGTGCATCACAGCTCCCTTTTTCAAAGACTGCTCGGTTTGGAGAACAAAGGCAGCGTCCTATTTGTTTAGCACTGTCTAACTGATTTGACAGCAGCCTGGGCCTGTGGTGCTTCAGTGAATTCTATTGTTTTCCTTTTTTAGATTATGTACTCGGCGAGGCATGTAGGCTGAAATCTTCCAACAATTTAACAGTTTAAGCCCACCAGCAAGAACAAATTAACGTCAAATCTGCTCCTCTAAGAACACTAAAAGGTCTTAGGGCACCCATCATTCAGCGTTATAATCCACTACATCTTAGATGTTGTAAAAAATTGATCTACTTAGAACATTTGAAGGAGTGACATAAGCTTAATCTACAACGCACCGTTAAAAAAATGTTTTAAAAACTTTGCTCTCGTCATTTATTGACTAGGAAACCAGGAACAAGGCAGAGAGATTTGCACATTCACTCTCAAGCATGCAATCTTTAATCTTTCTCTCACCAGACCGCAGGTTGCTTGAGGAGCCGTAACCAGTGCCTTTTGGTAATTTTTGACTGAATCCCACCACTGCCCAGAGACTCCAGTGTGATTATAGGACCTGCAGAGGACAGACAAACGCGGGCACACAGCCACACGGGAGGGCACTGACTCAGTTTATTCAAATAAGCAGACCGGGGCATGGAATGATGACACAGATACTGTTTCTCCTCTTGCCTTCTCCTTTAAGTAGATACTTCCACATGCAGTAGGCCCACAGAACAGACAGCAGACCAGAGACGTAGAAAACACTCTCCCAACCATACAAATCCAGCATGAGGGAGCCAGCTCCTCCAATTACCAGTGTGCTGAAAGAAAAACAACAAAAGAAGCAAAAAACAGAAAAGCTATAAGCTTCTGTAAGATGAGTCAAGTCACGTGTTTATGTTTGAACAGAGGAAAACACAGTTGGGACACATCTGGACATAGATGGACAGGATTTCTAAATTAGGGGATTACAAATTTGACTTGGCGATCAAAGCAAACATTTCAAAAGAAGAACGTCCTCCTTTTAGACTCGTTTTATTTCATGAAGAACCCACCCTCCATTTACTGCAGGACGTTGAACTCACCCGAGGTAGGAGCCACTACCCACAGTGCTCATTAGGAAGCCCCTTTCACTCTCCACCACCTTTTGTGAGCACAGACTTGCAAGAGAAGGGTAATGAACTCCTAAAACCAGGACACAACCAGGAGGAATGTAAAGGGGAAAGCATTTGAGAAAACATACCTCAAAACAATGAAGAAAAAATAGCAATAGACTGAAAAAAAACAAGATTTATTAAACAATTTGATCAATCCACAACTGTGCAATGACTTTTATTCTTTCCTGTAAAAAAAAAGAGAAGAAATTCTCACTGCAGAACAAATAAAAAGTCAAGCTTTAACGAGCTCATTAATCTACCACCTTCATCAGTGGAAAGTTGGTTGTTTCACAAACTAAACGTGTTTATTTATAGCCATACCGTCTTTCACAGAAAAAACGCTCTTAGCACTAGTTGAAAGCCACATGAATGTGGAACTTCTGCTGCTATCATAGTAGAATCATTAAAAAGATCGATATGATTATTTCATCAGACTGCCTGAGTTTTTAAAGTCTATTCTAATGCAGAATATCCAAACGACTGCCTTCATTGCATTCACTTAGCGTCACAGCACACCTAAGTAAAACAACAAACACCTACAACAGTTACAATAATAACCAGGCGTTGTTCTTGCAAGCGTAAAAAACTGTCAGGACTGCTTAATACGGCCTGCATCTTTCACCTGACTGCTTCAGTTTCGTGTGATGACCCGTTTGTCTCACCTTGCAGCAGGCCCATGAGGAAGCGGGCCAGAGTCATGGAGAGGATGGGCTGGGAGCAGAGGTGGGCCAGGACGGGGGTGAAGGCTGTCATTGAGCCCCAGGCAGCTGCGGACAGCAGGAGGACCTTCTCACCTCCCACTCTGTGCACAAAGAAAAAAGAAAGGAAAGTCACTCCAAGTGAGACATGGCTCCGGTCCAATGTCTCCGATAAAACTGGTAATGCCACATTTTTATGTGGTGGATTTACCCAATGGGGTATGCATGTTTGTTTATCAAGGTGTGAATCATAACAGGTGTGTCCGTTTCAAATCACTGCATTTATGATCTGATGTCACATTTCTAAAAACTGTGAGCTGGTTAGGACGCTAGTGTCTGTCTTTCTTTAAAATATGTGCTGAATCTCCATGAGAAGCACTGGAACAGCATACCAAACACAAAGAATATTATGCTAGCTGGAAATATAACTTTGACATTTACAAATTATTTTTGATTTCTCCTCAAACAGACGTGCATCTCCTCTCTTAGAAAAAAAAAAAAAAGAACACGGGCCTACGGTTAACACGTTAACACAGAGTGAACATCCAGCCTAATTTATCTTTACAGCCTGAGCAAACACTCCTCAGCCTGTTTGCATCACGGCCAGATTAACGACACCAGACACGGAGGCCCGGCAGGACGCCGGGACAGGTGTCAGGCACAGACCGTGTCATCCATCCCGAGGACTGATCAAACAGCCCCGCTTCTGTGTAAACAAACGTCCGCGCCGCCGGCGGGGTGACGGCTGTTAGGCGTCACCTGTCGCTGACGTAGCCCCCGAACACCTGGGTGAAGCAGTAGCCCCAGAAGAAGCTGCCCAGCACCATGCCCGACTCCCTCTTGCTCCAGCCGAACTTCTCGGCCATGCTGACCGAGCAGATGGGCATGGCCACCCTGGCACAGTAGAGCAGGCACGTCCCCAGGAGCAGCACCACCGTCCACACCCTGGCCACTGGCCTGCACCGGATAGGGGGGGGGGAGCAGAGGGAGATGCGTTAGCCAAAATAAAACATGCATGTAAACTTTGGACTCCTGTTGAAAGAGTTAGTCTTATCTCTGAGGGGATGGCAGGTAAAGCCCCCCCCCCCCCCCCCCCCCTCAGCAAACATCAGGACTGAAATCATGTGGCACATAAATGCCCCTAATGGGGATAAAATAGACCCAAATAATAACAGTTACTAAAGAGGAAAAACAAAACAAAAGATGTTTAGATACTTGAACTTCAGTCTCAACAGAAAGACTCACTTCTGACTTCCTTCTTGACAAACATTTGCCCTATATGGCAAACTAGAAGAACAACACAGATACGGAGGTAAAAAAAAAAAAGAAGAACATATGTCTCGGATGTACGACCTTGGGGGTTAAAAGATCAGGACTCGATGCCATTTATCAACACTGAGGGAGATAAAAAAATAAAGTGACCAGCCTCGTAGCAGATCTAACAGAACAGATGTGACGTCAAACAGTCCTCATGTCACAGTTGGTGTTGGAGAGGTTACCTCGGCCAGTTGCTGTGGTGTTCAGGCCACTTCTTGTTACATCCAGGGACTCCGACCTTGCCGGGCGGATGGTTTTCCTTGTGACAGACCAAATCTGGACTATAGTTTTTGCCATATTTTTGAATAACTGCCATTCAACGCGAGGAGACGGCAGCCTCTTCTCTTCTCAGCCGCGCCGGGTGTTTTTACTTTCTCAGTCTTTTCCGGGCTGGCTAGTGAGAAAAAGTGCACGTTGAGATCAGAATAAAAAGAACAACATCCGGCGCTCACGCCGCAGCCTTTCGATATTCAGCTCCCTTACCGCTGAGGACGGGATCTCAGGGACACGGGAGACGGTCGCGGAACTAAAAACAGGAGGAGGGAGTCTGTTTTTTTTTTTCCTGATGCCCCGAAAGAAATAATCCACGTGTCAGTTTTTCCTCCTCAGCCTCCTCCTCCTCCGGCCACAGACGCACGCAGTTCCCCCTTTTGGCCGCTAGGGGGAATCAGGAAGTGATCCGACCCGGCTTTAGCTGCACAGTCAGCTGGTCTTACCGTTTCAGGATCATCCGGACCGTTAGGGGGGGGGGGGGGGGGGGGGGGCAGCTCAGCGCAGTGCTCCAGACAGCGGGGGCTCCTTATGTAAGGCCAGAACACCGTACAGAGGGTTAATCACCTCCAGGTAACCACAGATTTAATTTAACATAAGGGTGATTTTCCGATGAGTCTGAAAGAAGTTGTTATAACTTGTTTAAACACACATTTGCTTCGATTTGGGTGTTAATCTCCCACTGTCCAAAAACATGCATGTTGGGTGAATTGGGTGAATTTATTTACAAATTGCCCAGTCGGAGTGAATGTGAGCGGGTGTGGTTGTGTGTCTCTGTGTAGCCCTGTAAGGGGCTGGCGACCGGTCCCAGGGTGTACCCTGCTTCTCCCCTGTTGTCAGATGGGATAGGCTCCACGTTAATTTGAAGGATATATGGCGTACTGTATACTGTTAAGCCAGATAAATACCTATGAACATTGCAGACTGTTTTAATGGATGACTGACTGTTGATAAAGCACTATACTCAAAAGTCATGTTACTGGGATTTGCAACCAGAAGGGGTAAAAAAAAAGGGGCATAAAAAAGAGATTTAAAAAAAAGTTTGCACAGTTGATGGTTATATTGAATAAATGTGATCAAATAGAGACATTGTCAGCACTCTTCTTTTTGTACCTGTTTTCTTCTTTTTTTTTGTGCCTGACCACAGTGCAGCCAAGGATATAGGTGGTTTGGAGGCCGTGGTGGCAAACTCTGCCTAACTCGGCACGTGGAAGCATGGATGGGTGCGCAGCGGCCGTTATGCGTGACAAGAAGATGCGTGCCAGGCTGAAGCTCCCACACATCAGACACTGCGAGCACACGAAGGCATGTGTAGACACAACCTTTGACAGCATGTGTGTCAAAACAGCCCATCGGCAGGCGCCTGTTCCAGCAGTCCCTGGAAAGTGATCCGAACCATAAAAGAACCTGGAGAACAAGAGGCTGAAGAAACGCAAAGGCTATGAGGTACAGCACTGATGGCATTCAACGTTCCACCAAGAAGCACACAATCAATCATATTTAGTTATGATCGTCCTCATGGCGACCTCAAACGAACACAAAGAAGGAAAAAGCAACTGGAGACAGTACTGAACAGACAGCAGCTCACTTATTTCAGAGTTGGACGTGATGTCTCTTCTCACTACATGAACACTGCTGACACTTTGAAGAATGGACTTTCCCTTGTAATTCTTGGAATAGTCTAAAACCATTTCCTGGATGGGTTTACCCAAGCCATGGTTATTGGATCATCTCAGAAATATTTTGCCCTCATTATTTCATTCATTGGAGATTGCATTTTTCAATGTGCAGGTTAAAAAACATAACTTTGTTTTTAGATATTGCCTTTTGTGTCTTAAGACCCAATTGTGTAAAAAATAAAAACAAATAAAAACAACAAACAAATGTCAGACTGGACCCGTGGTTCCCTTTAACGTGTAAATGTAAATGTAGCTGACGCATCATATTTATTACACAAAGAGAAAGTCTGTGTAAATTAGAGGTTGACAAAAGTTGAGTTCATTGTGGTGACTAAGTAGGAAAACATTTTTTAAAAGTGTCCATGAGCTTTTCAGAACTATATGCAGTTGGGGTTCAGGTGGTCGTCGTTCACAAGCCTCCCGAGGCTCCCGTCTTCTGCCGAAGCATCGACGCTACCAGAGAAAGAGAAACGAAAACAGACGACGGTGGAGGAGAGTCGAAGCGGCTCATTCAAACTGTTGCCCCTAGGCTGGTTTGTGGATGGTTTATCTTTTGAAACTCACCTCCAGTTTGTCCGACTCAACGAGAAGTCAAACACAAAACCATTCAGAGTGTCTCTCCTCCTTTGGGGGTCTTCATGTCGAGAGATCTCTCCCCGGTACTCGACAACAAAGCTGGGAGGTTCGATGGACTCGTTGGTGAACACTGCTCTTCCTGGAGAAACAGACATTGGGGGTCATCTCAGAAAAAACTGCTCCATCGTTTGTTCCTTCAGGATTCGACGGCTGGAGTTCTTTAATATTGTTCTGACCCCAAAAACCCTCTAAAAAAGCTGCCGGCTGATCCAAAATCTGCTGAGAACCAGCAGCAGCTTTCAGGTATCAGCCCCCCCCCCTCTGAGGAACCAGTCTGGGTTGTCTGGGCATTGTTGTCATTAGTTGTCATTTA